ATGTTGTAATGGCTATGTTGCTGGACTCCCATGTAGTCAACCATGGTTAGAGTCCCAGACCCAGTAGCTTAAACTCATGCCAAGTTCATGTGCTTGCATGCCCAAGATCCCGAGAGTAGAAGGGATTGTAGCATGGTCATCCCCCGAGGGGGTGATTTCTCGGTTTCTGTCTCTCTGTCTCTCTCTGTCTTTCTGATGTGCGCACATGCCCTATAGCAAAAGCCTCTCAAAAAATATATATATATTGTTTTTAAAATCATTTTGATGCCTATTATTTTGGGGTAGGCTGGAGGATTCCTACGTACTAAAAATATCTAAACGATGTTTATAGAATAACTACTAGCCATTATTAAGATTTCAAAAATTACTTAGTATTAACTTTTCCATTTTTAATTTCCTCTGCCAGACCCCTGTCTTGTCTTTTATTCTTTTTTATTTTCTATTCCTTTCTCCCTCTCTCTCTCTCTCTCTCTCTCTCCTTATTTATTGATTCTTCTTGTTATTAAAGGATTAAGGACATGGATGCCCAGAATTTTGTAATCATAGTCTTTAGATTTATAACACAGTATTGTCATTTATTCATGTCTGATATACTATAGTAAATTAATTAATTTGTCATGTAATGGAAGCTGGTACATTATATCACCCAAGATCTAATACAGTTTTGTGCTTTTTATATCTTTGTTTCTTAATTGTTTAATCGCATATGCCTATGTTTTTGTTTAGCATTATTTGTTTTGAAAATTTCTAAAAAGACTATTTTAAAGTAGTCTTTTTTTCACTTAATATTGTTTTACTGAGACTTATCCATATCATTATCTAGAGCTCAAATGTATTCACTTCTTTGTAATGGTCCACTGCATGGTTATACCACATCTTATTTATATAGTCTTCATCAATAACTGTCTTAGCCACTTTGTCCAGAAAAACAGAACTGAAGACAAGCTAATGTGCTAAGGTATTATCGGGAGGCATTATCTCCAGAATAGTAGAGTGGGTGAAAATGAAAAGTGAGGCAGAGAATGAGAGGGGCGGGGGGAGGGGGGAGACAAGGTAAAATGTCTCTGACCTGTTTGCAATTTTATAAGAAAATGCAACCTATTGCTTGTTGTGTAGAGAATAGTCTTTCAGGCAGGAAGTACAATCACTAAACCTTACATTCAGCCATCCAAAGGAAAAAAAGGATTTATCTGTGCTTATCACTCTTAGTCTCTTGTTTCCTGTGAGTTACATAGTCTACCTCCTAGGTGTTAACTATGCTAAATTTCTAAATTTTGTTACCTACCTCATCTGGGCAGTGTCTAGGGAATCCAGTCCCCACACTGTGGCACAGCACTTCACTTCCAGAAGTGGAAGGAAGAGTAAAGCTGCAGTGGTCTAAATAGATGAGAAACATGGGCCTCTGATAGATTCCAGCTCTCACAATATGGGACACATCAGCCGTAACCAGTTCCACCCAGAATAGACTGGAACACTGATACTGGTAGAAGATAAGCTGAGCAGAACTATAGCCAGGATTCTTCACTGATCAAGCAGCCAAGCCCCAGTGGGCAGATGGGTGCATGTAAATCCGAAAAGGCACATGAACTGAGTCTGGTATAGTGGTAAGTTGTGTTATTTCCATTTCATCTATTATTATGAATAATAGTGTTAGGAAGAGCTGTTGTGGAGCTGGTGAACATGTACAGGTGTTTTCACTTGACTCCCTTAGCATGAAATTTACTGGATCATCGAAATTTACTAGATCATTGGGTATCCTGTTAGTAGTTTTGTATACCATATAGTATGCCCAAGATCCTGATGAGTTGGAAGGCTAGGGAAAGGGTGTCATGGTATGTCAAGACCCTCTAAAGGAAGAATCAGTCTCTCTCTTTCTCTGTCTAGTGTATGTTATGTGCTCTCTACCATGAATAAAAATCAAACGAAAACTTTAAAAGAAAGAAAAGATTATTTAATAAATTGTCAGAAAACTTTGCTCAAATTAAAACTTTGAGATCTTCTTTCATACTCCACATTTAATCTCTCAGCAGATCTTGTGGGCTCTTCTGTCAGTTATCTAATGCTGCTGAGAAGACACAAAATTTAAGATCTAAAACAGCCACCATATATTTGCTTGTAATTCTGCAAATTAGGTAAGGTTTGGCAAGGACAACTTGTCTGTATTAAATGTAGCTTCAGCTGTGGTGGCTCAACTAAGGCAAGATCATGTCCAAGAGGGCTCACTTAAATGGTAGGCAGGTTGGGTTGGCTGTAAGCTGGGAGCTCAGTTCAAGCCGTTGGCCAGGATCCAGGAGTGAGCATTCCAAGAGGACAAGCTCCAATCTGTGACAGTTATTAACCCTCACTTTGCACCACAGTTACTCTATCTCATTGGCTAAAGCCAGTTACATGGCCAAGCAAGATTCAGTATAGGAAGGGATTTTACAGAGGTGTGAATAACACTTTTAAAGAGATGTGAATGACAGGATGCATGGCTCATTGTAGGCCACCAGAGGAACTGTATACCACAGCTATGTATTTCAAAATGCGTGCAGTACTTGCTTTGCACAGTAGTGTGGGGCCATAAAAATGACTATGCTGCTGAAACCCTGCAGAGCAGTATTAATAATTGACAGGGAAAATTATAATTCTTCTGTGATCGTTAAATTTTTTATCAAAACATTAAAAATTCCTGTTGTCAATTATAAAAGTACAAATTAGGAAAGTGAAAAATATATTGAAACTAATATTTTGAGTACATTGTAATTTAAAAGAGAACATTTATGTTATTTCTTAGCCGAGAAAAATTTTATCAAAGAGAAAAGCAGTCTAAACTTAGAGCAAGCAGAAAGAGGGAAATAAAAATTACAGTAGAAATGTAATGAAATAGGAAATGGAAACAGCATAGAGAAGTTTCACAACACTGAAAGATGGTTCTTTGTAAGATGAAGAATATTGACTCTTTAGCTAGACTGGACTACAAAAAAGTCTCAGATTTCTTAAAGCAAGAATGAAAGAGGGAACATAAAAGAATACCATGAACAACTATGTGCCAACACATTTGATACTTTTTTTAGAATTATTTATTTAATCATAGCTATTCTTATTATTATTTTTAATTTGACTGGGGCAGAGAGCAGTGAGAAAGCAAGCTGCCAGATCTAGGACTCAAACCATGGTCAGCCATGTGAGAGTCCAGCACCTTAACCACCAACCCACATACAGGCCCCCCACATTTGGCAAATGAAATGGACAAATGCCAAAGAAAAAATAAATTACCACATCTCTTTATCATTATACTGGAGATTCTGGCCAGGCCAATAAGAAAAAGACATTCTGATCGAAAAGGAAAAGCTAAAACTGTATTGTAAATAACACAGGAAATCCTAATAAACCTAGTAATAGAACTAGTAAACAAGTCCAGCAGGGTTGTAGGCTACAACATCGCTCTATCAAAACATCATTATATTTCTTTACAGAAGATAGGTGATGGCCAGTAAGTAATTGGAAAAGCTTTAGTTGACTGTTAAAAATGCAGGTACAAATTTAGTTTATACATAAAACATCCATAATTTTACAGACTTTTTAAGTTAGTAATATTCATCATTAGCAAAGGGCTAAGTAGGTGGGTATTTAAATATTGTGTGGTAGCAAATGTAAATTTACTAAAGCTGTTGAGAAGAATTTAAATATCTATTACTTTGAGAATTATTTAATAAATTATTATATAACCACACAAAGGTATACTGTGCAACAGGTGTGGTTTTTCTTTTTTTGTTTTTTTTTGGGGGTTTGTTTTTTTTTTTTTGTTGGGGGGGGGGGGTTACGAGATTTTTGCCATAGTGCCCATTCACTTGCTAGGGAAGAGAGAGACAGAGACAATGAGAGAAAGTGAGAAATCATCCCCTAGGCTGGATGGCCATACCACAGTTCCTTCTATTCCATTCTCCTCCTGGATTCTTATTCATGCTCACACACACCTCCGATGTGAGTTTTATACTACCAGATCCAGAACTCAAACTGGTCAGCCACATGGGAATATATCAACATAACCACTGCATCTGCTGGTCCCACAACAGTTTTTTGTGGTCATTTTCATGTAGTAATTCCATGTGTCGCAAGAGGAAAAAGTGTCTAGGGTAACTTACATAAAAATCTATTTGCAGGGCCAACCCTGTGGCTTCATGCTTAAGGAAGCAAGATCCCAAAATCCCAGCCCTAGTATTTGGGTAACATGCCAGACCTAGGTGTATGTGTTCCCAGAACCCCAATAGGAAGGAGAAACGGAAGAGAAGGGATTGCTCCATAGGCCCAGTGATGGCCCATTCGGGGTGCTCCCCCCCCACCATCTCTCTCCAGCAGGCACATGCACCCTCTGACAATAAAATTCATTTGCAGAACAAAAATTTTAACGTATCTTATTTCTTCAGTGGAAAAAAAAGATTAAAATATACCCAAACTCATTGCTAAATGCCTCCAAGTAGTAATAGGTTGAAGCTGGGATAATAGGAAGAATAGAAGCTAGAATCAAAGTTGGCTAGTCTATTAACATATCTTGGAAGTCCAGCAGGTGGCATGGTGGTTAAGGCACTGGACACTCCCACATGGCTGACCAAGGTTCAAGTCCTGGACCTGGTGGCTCGCTTTCTCGCTTTCTCTCTCTCTCTCTCTCTCTCTCTCTCTCTCGTAAAATAAAATAAATGCATGAATAAATAAAATTTAAAAAAACATATATAAATAACTGCACATTTTATCATAATCAACTTCCTGGCATCACAGACCAAAGAAAAACAGAATTTTCTTCATACACATCTTTGGTTTGTTTGGGTTTTTTTCCACCTACATTTTATTGAGTCACAAAATACCTTAAACTAAAAGTATGGACAAAGCTAGAATCTAGTTACAAGTACACTGTAATTGTCTTCTTAAACATTTTTTAGAAATTACTTTACATTCATTCCCTGAGCATTGTCACAGCATACAAAATGTGATTTCCCATCCAGAATATACTGCGTAGTGGCTTAATCATATATGTTATCGTCAATAATTTTCCATTTCTAGTTTCATATATATATATTTTTTTTTAACCCCTATTTCTTACCCTCTGCCATTTCCCACGCTTCTCCCACACTATCTCAGGTGTCTGCAGTTGTTTTCTATTTCTTTTCTCCCCACATTTTATTGATTCACAAAATTTCTTAAATAATCTGACTACTTTCAATAGCAAGTTTAGCTAGTATGTATATATCTGTGAATACATGTCAGACTTTAGGCGTGAAACTCTGAGTAGAATGAATATACTATAAGGTAACACCTAGCTGATGCTATATAGCTTACTATGGTCATTAAATATATATTTTTTTTATTTCAAGAAAAGCAGTTTTAACTTTAATAAATCAAAGAAATGCTAAGAAACTTTGTTTAAAATTTAAAGCCAAGAAACAGGTTGGGATTCTGTTCAAATAGTAGGTACATGAACCTATCATCAGCTCAAGACACGAAAAAAAACTCCTTAAAACTGGAAAACAAAGCATAGAAGAAAATCAGCAATGTTTTAGTCAAAAGTCATAAAATGCGGGACCAGCAGTTAGTGTAAGGCTATGTCGCTGGACTCCCATGTAGTCAACCGCAATTCGTGTCCTGGAACCGGTGGCTTAAAACTCAGGCTGGGCGCATGTGCATGCGTGCCCAGGATCCCAAGAGGATAAAGGAATTTTGGCATGGCCATCCCCCCTGGGGGGTGATTTCTCGCTTTCTGTCTCTCTGTCTCTCTCTTGTCTGTCTGGCAAGCGCACATGCCCTATAGCAAAAACCTCTCCAAAGAAAAAAGTCATTAAATTCCATTTCACCAGTTCAGTCTCATGTACTTTATCTTCTGTTATGGTTTGATCTTCCCAGTTAAATTCTGAGATATAATATTCAACTCCAGACTTGTCCCTAAGTTGGCCATGTTCTTAGTTTTTGAACTGTTATTTCTGTGTGTCTGTATTTAATTTTCCTGGTATAGCACTCCGTTGAGAACTTCTTTGAGATCTGGTCTGGTGTTGGTAAATTCTTTCAGGTTTTGTTTATCTGAGAATATTCTTGTCTTTTCTTCCCATATGAAGGAAAATCTTGCCAGGTACAGTATTCTTGGTTCTAATTGTTTTCCCTTAACACTTTGAATCTATTTTCCCATTCTTTCCTCACTCTCATTGTTTCCAATGAGAGGTCCACTGTTAGCCTAATGGAATATCCTTTGTAGGTAACTTACCGTTTCTCTCTTGCCAATCTGAGTATCTTGTCTTTGTGGTTTTAGTCAATCTGGCTATAATGTGTCTTAGAGAAGATCTTTTTGGGTTGATTCTATTTGGGGTCCTTTGTATTTCTTGGGACTGGATCTCTGAGTGCCTCTCTAAGTTTGGAAAGTTTTCTTGCAGGATTTCATGGAATAAATTATCAATGCCCTTATGAGTCCCTTCACCTTCTGGGATACTAATTATCCTGATGTTTAGACATTTGATGGTATCTAGTATTTCTCATATATTATTCTCATTTTGGGGGCAATTTTCTCAGTTTTCGTGGTTGACTTTTCTAGGCCAGCGATTCTATCTTCTATGTCTAAGATTCAATTTTCTGTATGATCTAGTCTGCTCTAAATGCTTTCAAAGGAGATTTTGACTTCCTGTATTATAGCTTTCATCTCTAACAGATCCATTTGATTCTTTTTTATAGTATGTGTTTCATCTTTTAGATCTTGCAAGAATTTCCTCACCTTCTGGTATTCGTCAGCTCTTTTCTCCTGCCTCTTCTGCAGTTCATTGTCTCTCTTCTCTTCCATTTCTATTAGCTTCATCGTTATGAATATTCTAAAATCTTATTCATACATTTCCATTGAACTGTCTGTGGATGAAGAGGAGTTATTTTTTTTCCCTTGGAGGAGAGGTATTTTATTGCTTTCCCATATTTCTTGTGGCCCTGCGGTGATTTCTAGTCATCTGATAGATGGTGCATTTCTTCCTAATTCTTGAAGTTCAATCTGAGTGTTCAGGAGTGTGCAGAAGGAGGTGATCTGGAATCTCTTTGGCATTCCATTTTTATCTTTTTGTGCAGCAGATTCAGTGGGTATTGAGGAATATATTAACCTTAATAGTATTGGATGTTTGGCTATCGTTCCCTTAGATCCATCTAGAAACACAGTGAATGGAGGTTGAGGAGCAAAGTGATGAGATAAAGTAAAAAAGTATAAGAAAACAGAGAGAGAAAAAAAAAAAAACAGAGAGAGAGAGAAAGAAAAAAAAGAAAACATAACCAAAAAAATTTTTTTAAGAAATAAAGAAAAAAATAAACCATGCAGCACGCAAGCACACTGCACAAAATGACTAGTTCTCAGCAGCAATGGAGGAGTCTTCTTTTGAAGGCCTGCCCCTTGCCTCTCCTAGAGGGGAAGGGGAAATGGTGTTATTAGCAAGATAAAGGAAGATTTGAAAGCCAAGAGAATACTTTACCTTAAAAATTTTTTAAAGGAAAAATTGCCAAAAAATGAGAAGATGGAGAGAGAGACAGAGAAGGCTAGAGGGGCCCCCTACCACTTGAGTTTGAGTTAGGAGGCTGAATTAGCAATAGAAAAATCTTTATTTCTCTTTTTTCCCTGAAATGACTAGTTCTCAGTAGCAGTGGAGGAGTCTTCTCACATCTCTGGTTTTTTAAAACCACTTCCTTATTTTCCCTTTTAGTGTAATTGTTTATAACCAGAAACAAGTGAAAATATCTTAAATACTTGGGCCTTTTTTTTAGGTGAATAGTGTATGTTTAGAAGAAGTTACTCATGAAGAAGCAGTAACTGCCTTAAAGAACACATCTGATTTTGTTTATTTGAAAGTGGCGAAACCAACAAGTATGTACATGAATGATGGCTACGCACCGCCTGATATCACCAACTGTAAGTCTGTTTAAATTCGCTTATCCTTTTTCTTTGTGTGATGCACTGTAAAGAAATGTTTTTGGCATAATATAAAAAGTTTCAACATTATAAAAAAATCTTTAAATTAACTTAATTATTTTAATCTTATAGTTTTTAAAAATTTGTTTTAAGTCACAGTTTTCATAATAAGAGGGAGTCCTTTCTCTCCTTTACTGTTTTATGCTACTAATTACTTTGAACATTTGGGGCATTGACTCTCAAACTTCTGTGTAAGTAATACCAAGGATAATTGTAAATAATGTATTGGGTCATCAGGAAAGTCATGATGTATTTTTGCATAGAAAAGCATAGAAAACTATGTCGTGATTTTCCTAACGACCTAATAGATTATTGTTTGTTGTAATAGTTTGGGGATTGAGCCCAGAAATTTTTTTTAACAAGCACTTTATTAACAAGCAAAGTAATTCTGATTATTCTGTTGCTGCTGGCTCATAGACTGCATTTTGAGAAAGATTGATTTAAAATATTCCTAAAACTTAGGGCTAACAAGTGGCACATCAGTGGCCAGCTCATGTTCTGATGATTACATGAGCAGGATCCCACATGACTAATTGCACATTTCCAGGCACAGGCCAACAACTTGAAAGACATGCCAGGCACTTGTGCGTCCATGTGCATGTGCAAAGTCTCAACAAAAAGGAGAAATGGAGGAGAATGGATTACATGCAGTGTGACCATTCCCTAGAGGGGTGCTGTCTCTCCCCCCTCGCCTCAACAAGTACACATGCACCCTGGCAAATTTTTTAAAAGGAAAAACAGTTTCACCTCAGTAAAATATAGTACTCTGTGAGACTAACCCACAGGGAAGGATTCCAGGTCCTCATCCAGAGATGTCCCGGAGTACACAGGGCATGCACGTGCCAGTGATCTGTGGCTGGCTGAGACTTGGGGGTACATTGTCTCATCAAGACCTTGCTGTAGATACTGCCTCTCCCTCTCTTGTCTTTCTTTCTCTGTCTCTCTCTGTCTCTCTCTCTGTCTCTCTCTGTCTCTCTCTTACTTGCTTAGGGAGGAAATAAGTAACTTTAAGGGAAATAAGTGTACAACAAAATTCTAAAACTTAAGAGATTTTTCTGTTCTCTTAACTGTATTAGAATAGATACTATCTTTGTATTCAAGCTCCTAAGTGTATGCCTAGCTGTATTTGTGTAAAGTTCAGTTATGTGCAGATTGGAAATGTTATTCAAGTAATTATGTATTTTTTTAGACAGATTTTTACTATAGGGTGAATGCGCTTGCCAAAGAGACAGAGAGGGAGAGAAAGACAGAAAGCGAGAAATCACCACCACCCCTCCTCCAAGGGATCCCCACTGTAATACCTTCTCCTCCATTTTCCTCTTAGTATTTTGGGCATGCATGCAGATGTGCCCAGCTTGAGTTTTAAGCCGCTGAATCTGGAACACAAACCAGAGTCAACTATGTGGGAATCCAGCAAGGTAACCATTATACCATCTGCTGGTCCCAGTAATTGTGTACTCTTAAGTTTGAGTTTTTTACTGTGTAAGCTTACAAGAGACTTAAATAAGTTTTCATGTGTTTGTGTTGGTTGAAAAATGAAAGCTTTATTTATTTGTTTTGTGAATTAAGTTACTTTTAGAAGAACCCATGAGTGATAAAGTTTTTAAAGGCGCCTTTTCTAATACGCTTTTGAGTGTTTCTTTTTTAAATTGTAGAATTTTAGAATTATTTGTGAGTTTTGTAAATGGCATTGATTCCAACTTGAAAATTATCAAGATATTCATTACAAACATCACTAATCTTTATAAGTAAAATACAAATACATTTATAAATCTGTGTACTATCCTCCAATAATAGCATCATCATTATCTGCCCATTGATTTATTAATTGTTTAAATATAACTCAATTATTTCCTTAATAGTATTCAACTCCCCTAATGAACAGGAATGATATCTTACATGTTTATTTCAAAGAAAAGAACTTTGCTACTTAACTTGAAATTCCTATGTATCCTTGGTCTTGCACACAACTTTATTGAAGAGCATTATATATGTTTTATTAAGATTAAAGATGCAATTTCAAGGGAACCAGCAGTTAGCATAATGGCTATGTCGCTGGACTCCCACATAGTCGACCGCGGTTCGTGTCCCGGACCCGGTGGCTTAGAACTCATGCCGGGCACGTGTGCATGTGTGCCCAAGATCCCGAGAGGAGAATGGAGAAGGGATTGCAGCGTGACCATCCCCCCCGGGGGGTGATTTCTCGCTTTCTGTCTATGTCTCTCTCTGTCTGTCTGGCGAGTGCACACACCCTATAGCGAAAACCTCTCAAAAAAAAAAAAAGATGCAATTTCAATAATAAGCCATTTTATTCAGTTCAAGTATCTGTCATTTTTTTGGATACTGCCTAGCTGTTCATATCAGCCATATACACATTTGTGACAGTTGTTCCAAAACTTGAGAATTGATGCCCTCATTATGGTCAAAATTACTAATAACCAGGCTGCTTCTTACAACTATGTTAAACTGAAAAAAATTATATTTTTTTACTGTATTTATTTTTAAATATGGCATTTGAAAATGGAAAAGCTAGTCCTAGACAGTATTAATTAAATAATAATTGGCCATTTCCATATAGGCACATGTAGGCTAATAAGAAGTCGAAGTTTACCTTGCCACTGTAGCTTTATCACAATGTTTTACTTCATTTTTTTTTTTTTTTTTTTTTTTTTTTTTTGAATGGGGGAGGGGGTGGATGTTTTTTGCTGTAGGGCACAAACGCTCACCAGAAAGACAGAAAGCTAGAAATCACCCCCTGGGTGGATGACCACGCTGCAATCCCTTCTTCTTCATTCTCCTCTTGGGATCTTGGGCACACACACATGCCCGGCATGAGTTTAAGCCACCAGGTCCAGAACTCACACCGTGATCAACTACATGGGAGTCCAGCAACATAGCCATTATGCCAGCTGCTGGTCCCACAATGTTTTACAAATTCTTAAGCAACTAAAAAATATAAATTATATTGTAGTATCAGTCTTTGTTTATTCTACATATGTATTTCGTAAATAATTTCTTTGCATGTCTTTTTAAGAATTATTTTGTTTTTATTGTTATTATTTTTTAACTTGACCAGAAAGAGACGGAGAGGAAAGTGGGAAAGCAAGCCACACGGTCTAGGACCTGAACTTTGGTCACCTATGTAGGAGTCCAGTCCATTAACCAGCACCCCACCTACCAGCCCCTCTTCGTGTGTGTGTGTGTGTGTGTGTGTGTGTGTGTGTGTGTGTTTTAAAGCATTAGCATTTCAATTTTTTTTTACATAAATGATTTTTTATCTATCAGCTTTCTTGAAGCCCTTGCTGTCGTACTTACCCACCTTACTGTTAACTATTATATTATAGTCATCTACTGGTACTATCCTCTTCATCAATCTGGATTTAGTAACTGAAGATTTTATAATACTATCAGGCCCATCATCTTTCCTGCTACAATTATTCATGTGGTCATTCTTAGTGATATCCAAAATCTGTGCTGATGATTTGTCTAACACTCTGGTTTTTGGTTTGTTAATCTTTCTTTCTAATTATCATACCATCTACGTCAGCTCAGAAACTTGCTTCCAAGATAATACTTTAGATCTTATTATCAATAATTACTCAGTCACCTTTAAAATCTCAGTTAAATCCCATTCTCTCACTAAAACCTTCAGTTCATTCACCCTAAGTCTAATACCGCAACCTCATTTTGACCTTAAGTCATTTGACATTTGATTTTGTTTTCCCCTTTTGTTTTTTTTTTATTTTTTTTTAATTTCTATTTTTTACTATAGATGCCATGGTTTATTATGACATTCACTTCCTTGCACATATTTTCCTAGTCTTTTGCCCCTACTTCACTGGCAAAATCCCAGCACTGGTTCAACCAAACCCTACTATCTTCTCCATTCCTGCACTCTAAAAAGCATATCATGGCTAGAGAAATGCACAAAATTGTACTGTCCTTTAACTTCTGACTATAAATCTCAGATGGAAACTCACTCTTGATTGCAGTCCTGATGCATTTTTCTAACTAATTCACTCTCCCTTTCAGAATTCTTCTATCTCTTCACACCTCCTTCACTTACCATCTACTCCTTAGCCCTACCTGATGACCTCATTTTACTTTTTTTTTTTTTAGAGACAGATTTTTGCTATAGGCCATGTGCGCTCACCAGAGAGAGAGACAGAGATACAGAAAGCAAGAGCTTACCCCCCAGAAGGGTGGCCACACTGCAATCCCTTCTTCTCCATTCTCCTCTTGGGATTTTGGGCACATACACACACCCACCTGGCATGAGTTTCAAGCCTCTAGTTCCCAGACTCAAACCTCATTTGTCTGTGGGAGTACAGCGACAACCATTACACCATTTGTTGGTCCTCCATTTTACATTTTTGTATAAATACTCAGAAGAAAACTGTCTTATCCTTCTACTTCAATTCTACTGGTAAAGCTATATCTTTACCACAAAATTATGCTTTCCTTTGTGTTATAATGGAGTAACTATCACTATTCCTGTCGAAGACCAGGCCATCCATTTCTAAATGGAATCTCATATTTCTTTATCTTTTAATTTAATTTATTTGTTCATTTATTTTAATTTGATGAGAGAGAGAAAATGAGAAAGCAAGCCTCCAGGTCCGGGACTCAAACCACAGTCAGCCATGTGGAAGTCCAGCGCAACCACCACACCACCCGCCAGCACCGGAATCTCATATTTCTCATTCACAGAGGGCCTTGATCTTGCAACTGTCTCTTTTCTTTCTTTGCATAATCAAATTCTCTCTATATTACATTATTATCAGTACACAAAATGCTATATAACCTCTATCTTAAAAGATCAGAAGGAATACGGGATAAGATTCCTGTAACTACTGATCCTTTTCTCTACTTAATGTCACAAAGAGGTAATTTTGCTACCATGTGAAGAATTCCTACACATCAAAAAAAAAAAAAAAGAA